AGACTGAATCAAAGGGCAAAACTTTGAAAAAAGTTTGACACTGGAACTTTTAAGCAAAGGAAACTTTTAAAAATCAAGTGATCCGTATACCTCTCTACAATAACCACGGCAGAAAGGCATGCAATCGTGTTATCATCATATCCACAGTCTCAAACGCTATTATCCGCTGCATAATTTGCTATTTCCTACTTATGGACTCCGAAATTTGCGGAAAACAGGAAGTTAAGGACTGAACTGTCAGAAATTCATTCATGTTTTAAACTGTGTTTTGATTTTAGCGATCAGACAGGGCTCGATATTTTAGAGAAATATAGTTGGTGTTGCCACACAAACCGCAAGTGATCCCGCGATAACATTGAATAATGAATGAACTATATTGCTTACCTGAAAGATTTAATAGTCAAGAAATCCTCTTCATCAAAGAGAATAATTCATCACGAAAGGTTTATGCAGCTATCATATACTTTTAGAGGACATAGAGAGGTAAAAATAGTTTGAAGTTTATCACCCCTTCTTAACGATCGTCACTGCATATGATCATTCTCTTGAAAAGATGTTATGATATATCAGTTATTGCGGTCGTAAGAAAAGCTACAACTTAGGACGCACAGGGACAGGAAAGTTGTATCAAGGGGACTGATGTGAATAATAATTAGTTCGGCAGTGACTCTATATTGTGAAGAAAAAAATTTAAGACTATCCTTTCATATTAGGTAGATACATGTATATGTGAAATCCTCTTGGAAGAATTGAATACGTTTAACTCAGCGGATTGCGACAACCATAATAGATGACAGCATAATGCTCATTTAACCTTTTAAAAAGCGTATGGGTTTATCTTTTTATGCGACGATTTGTCAAATTTTTTCCGTGTTAAACTCATTATAAACAAAGATACGGCGGAGTTTTCTATAACTATACTAATCTTTTGATCCTAGTACTTTCACTGTAAGACCGTTACTGTTTTTGTCTGTCATCAGCTGGAGTAGCCGAGCTTACAATACAAATAAAAGATGTGAACACTATGTGTCAATGAAGAAGAATAAGTTAGATCCGAGAGAGGTCGTGCTAACTTAAAAATTACATTAATTTTTGGCCATTTTGGACTAAAAAATGTGCGGCATTTTCCTCCGTTTTCAATGAAAGTGAAGGTAAATTTATGGTTAGGATCTGATTATGATAATAACGATGACAAGAAAGACTGACAAATTCAACAAAATGATAATGACGTCTCTTTTAATCACCAGACCCTCTTTATCACCCGATTAATATTTACATGGGAACGCTTTATATTGCCACGAGACAGATTCTACAACCAAAAGTATATTACTTAACATTTTCCCCCACATTTGAGTTCAAAATTCGCTATTGAGAATGATTCCCCACTTCGATTTCAGCAACTGGGTGATCTTTGTAATTAGCTATGCAGGGCAGTATCTTATTTTCCCTTACTAGACCAATTGCAGCCTTAATCTTTTCTATCTTTTTTACAACTAGAAGCACTTCTCAATTTTATAACGAGGCCATCTAATCCAACCTACGTTGCTAATGGAAGCACTGTCAAACTGGTGTGGGACTACAGTGACCCAAACAATGAGCTTCAAGGCATTGTCTTTAGTGTTGTGGTTGGGATTCGATTTAAAGAAATGCTGCTCAAACAGCACGGTGTTGTCAAGAATCATTCTAGTTTATCTGCTGCTTATCAAGGAAGAGTCAGGATTGAAGGAAAAGCTACGCTGGTTATCGAGAGGATAACTCCAAAAGACAACACTTTCTTCAAATGTGCGATATTTGGTGACAGTTACCAGCAAAGTGTCGTTCAGCTTATTGTGGCAGGTTGGTATACAACGGATTTATTACAGTAACTATAGTAAGTCTCGCGCGCCTATTATTCAAGAATCAATACTGAAAAGGTCATAAATGAAAGTAACGACTTAAGGCGTAACCCGACGCGATGCAATCCTCGCCATAACTGGGAAGGAATTTCTTGCCTAAAAACAATTGCAAATTTCTGACAAATCGAGAATGACGAATTCTTCAATTTTAGATTCGGCATACTTGACGAAATTTTTGAAGAAAAACTTGTCGAGGTGAAAGAAAAAGCGTAGGAAAAATCCTCAGGAAAAGAGAATCGTTCACAAGTTTCGAAGAAGACAACAAAAACAAACAATTTACGATGCCGAAGCACAGGTACTCTCCTGGTGGAGTTCCTTTCTTTCGTTTGCACGAGACTCTGTTCGCAAGGGAAAGCAAGGGACTCAAAGCTTAAAGTAAGTGGGAAGAAACAAAAATAGGTTTTTAGAACACACCAGTGCATAAATAGTTGCTTTGATAGAAATTTGGGATAAAAAGGGCAAAGAGTAGTTCAAGATTCCCAAGATGTAGTTTAGAGCGGGGTGAAAATAATTGACAGCAGTTATGAATTGATTTATCTAATTTCAGTTACACGCGACTAACACAGGCCACTCTTTGTACGAAAGTTCATTACAGACAAATGATCAACCTGGAACTTTGAAATGGGCACGTGCAAGATGTTTATGTTGTCCTTTCATTCATGACCTAGAGAAAATCTCATTTCACTTGTACCTCTGCTAATGTCATCTATGCATAACTTGTTCTTATGACAGAAAGTTTTTAAATCAGAGAAACAGTACGATAGACTAACAGCTTCGAGTCGTAGAAAGTAATGGCAAAGACACTAGACACTTTAATCTCCGAATCATTCCGAGCAAAAAATGTCAATCTGCGGCCTTTCTCTACGCATAAGCAGTACAAAAAGCCCCAAAATGCTATAAAAAAAAAAAAAAAAAATCTGCCGTACACTCATAATCCCCACGGTATGAATAATTTATTCTTGTGTTGTTCGCGATGCCATGTTCCCACCAGGAGCATAGGTCCATTTTTTGCGCACCTACCACACACAGCCCACAGTTGCTCTTCTCACTCTGACGAGGGTTTAACGCCCGAAAAATTAGCTTTAGAAATTCTTTATGGTCTCCAATTTAATCTATTGACTCGAGGGAAGAACGAAATGATTATTTCAAACGAAGCCCCGCTTACTCTTTCCTTTGTCAAGAGCTTAGATCATAAGCACATAGATAGAACCTGAAAAGTTAAATGTTGAGTCAAAATCTACAGCGGGCAACATTTCCTTTGACTTCTACGTAATTGACGGCATCTAAAAGGTAAGGAGTAATTAGTAACTTTTATCACGGCAGATTATGCGTCAATATTTTGTACATTTGCATATGAAAAAGTGGACCAACCCGTCCTTTAATTATAAATTTACACTTTTCTGCATCACCAAAAGTTAGCGATTAATAATAGATTAGCAAAAAAGAAGTAAAGGACCACAAATTAGCATTAAAATGTTTTAAACATTTTTAAGAGAAAGAAGGCAGCTGAATCTCAAACTAAAGATTCTGTTGTAAGGACGAGTTTTGCAGAACCTTGAAAGGCGCTTAGTAATCTCTGTTCAGTTGACGAAATGAACTGTTTCCGACGTCGATCAAATTGGCACTGCAGGGTTATTTTCACTTTTCTGCATAATCAAAATTGAGAAATTCTGACAGAAACAAAGTGTCTGAATAGTTCCAGTATCTGACTTTCTCCCGTTCAGACTGCTCTAATGAGAGTTTAAAAATCTTTCAATCATTTACATCTTCCGTGGTAGCTTTTGTGAGACGGCTTTTCGAAGAAAAAAAAAAGCAAGACAAACAATTTTGTACAATGCGTGTCATGTTTATCTCAACAGTGAAGGAAACAGAGATTGGCAAATTGGAGAGGAACTATCACCGTTTACCTCACGATGCAGCCATTTCCGATGAAAACGGAAAAAGGAATGATTAAATGCACGTCATCTCATGAGTGATTACACGGCTGTAATAGCCAGGATTCTCACTGCGTGGAGGAAATTACCATATCCACTGCTCTTTATTTTTTTCGAGGGTTAAAAAATGACGCTGTGTTTGTAAAATGTATATATTTGTTTAATTTGAATCGCAAATAATGTTGATTTTTTTTTTCTTTAATAAGTGATATGAATGCGGAAAGTGTGCCTGGCGCTCTGGGTTTAAATAAAAAATAACAGGAAAAAGTCTACAAAAATAATTCACCAGCAATAGATCTCAAAAGAAAGAAGGAGGAAGAAAGTACAGCCTCTTTTTATTTACAAAACCCATATTCATGCTAAAAAAGGTATACTAAAGATACAACCTACATTGGAAAGGCGTCAGCTGTAATGAAGACGCCCTTACAATACCCAGAGAAAGAATAGCACTCCTGCGCAAAGCAGCGACACTTTATTTGTTTTTTCATTGCAGAGCCTCTGATAAGTCTGTCTTCACTGTAAGGAAGTTTCAAGGAGGGATCCGTTGTTAATGTCAGCTGTAGAGCATCCGGGATTCCAGCGCCTGATGTTACATGGATCAGAGAAGGAAAAGTAATAACTTCAGGAAAGGGAACAGCGCTTTTGAACTTCAACACTGTAACAAGAACAGATGACGGAGGGTATCTATGTAGAGCAAACAACACAGCTGATACTATTAACAACAAAACGATAATATAATTCTAGTCTACTGTAAGTAATATCAGCCGTTTTTCTCTTTTAATTATTGTTATTTTTACAATTATTGTTAATATTGAAACAACATGGTAACAGAGAATGTGATCAAATGAATGTGCCGAATTTTAACTATTCGAGACCAAAATTTGCTCGTATGGATGAAATACTCATTAGCTGTAAGGACTGTCAATATTCCTGAGGTGTTACAGTTCTACATCTTAACTGATTTCGTTATCACCTTGCAGACCCGCCAACAATACAAAATATAACCACGTCAGCTAGTAAGTTTGTGATTGGTCAGACGATAACGTTAAGGTGTCTGTCTGATGGTATTCCTACACCAACACTAACGTGGTACAAACCTAATGAAATAAAGATCAACAGAGTCAGAGCTATAGAAAACAAAGTACAAGTAACGTTCAGAGGTGATCAAGATTTTGGTGATTACAAGTGCATTGCTGCCAATGGACTGAGTCCCACTGACGACAGAATAGTAAAAATAACACAGATAAGTAAGATTTGCTTGTTGTTTTCCTGCTAAGTGTCGATCATGTCATCCTGGAAAACATTTCGCCAGGGAAAAAAAAAAGAAGACTTATGTCCTGGCTGAAAACTATAACTCCATATCTGCTCTGCTGTGAATGAGGAAACGAGGAAACACTAACCTTTCCTAATTAGAAAAATACTGTAACTGCTTTCAAATTTTGTTTAATCAGAGGGTTACTTGCAGTCTAACAAAAATGAATGTGAATGTTATAGCGACCGCTGACAGGGAAGAGTTGCGTGTGAGATCAGCACAGTATTGAACTTGCACTCAGATGTTTTTTCTCTTTTTTTTTTCGCAAAATTGAGTAATTTGGTAGATGCCTGAAAGTCTCAAAGAATCAGAGTTGTGGCTCTATTAACAATTCTACGGTTTTTTACATCAGAACACATGCAATGGCCACATCGCAACTCAAAAACAAACAATAAAGTGTAATGTATCTCAACGATGGGCATATTGTCATCGAAAAGACCAAATAGTTGGCAAAAAACGAAAGGCATTAACAAAAGCGTGGGGTCAGTCTGTTCCCAGTAACACCACGTATACTTTTTCAGCTTTGACCATTGATTTCCTTTTATCAAGTGAGCAGAATATTTTGAAATGTTACATTACTGAACGCAAGATATACGTTATCGATTGGTCATATTGTTAAATTTTGATGCGATCATAGAAAAATGGATAGTTCAGCCCTTTCTTCACTGTTTATAGCAAAACCAGGTGCACCATCCATAGTGTCATCAGAAGAAGGTATTCAAGCCAGTTCACTAACGCTACGATGGACACCACCTGCCGATGATGCAGGGAGTCCTATCACAGGATACCGAGTGATCATAGTAAAGGGTAACACTGAGATAAACAGAGTTAATATTTCTGATCCTGGTAGAACAAGCTACACTTTTGGGGGTCTGGAGAGAGATACAAACTACACAGTGAAAGTCTTTGTAAGGAGTGCTATTGTTGAAGGAGATCCTGTTGTAATCACGGTGACTACAAAGGTTGAAGGTAAGCAGTTGCTCTTAGAGAATAACAGAATATTCTGTTTCCTAGCGCTACTAAAAGACAATTTGAATTTCAAATATTCGATAAGCGAGCCTTTATTTAAATTATGTATTGCATATTGTGGTCAATCAAGGTCCCCCGGCGGCAGTGGCAATATATGACCTGCCCAGTGAAACAACAGATGATGAAATCACCTTGAAGTGGAAGGAGCCAGAAGATAATGGAAGAGAAATTACACAGTACACTGTGTACCAAAGATTAGTGACTAACAGGAAAGTAGGAGAGTGGCGAGTTGTAAGGAAAATCGCGGAAGTCTCAATTAAAGAATTGATGGTCAAGATGGAGAAAGGCAAGGTGTATGAATTTACAATCACTGCCACAAATGGACTTGGTGAAAGCTTGGTTGACGCAACGAAGATCAAAAGAATAAAAGTTATAGATGTACAAAACAAAGACCGGAAAGCTAATTTAAAATAGATTCAGAATTTTTTTTTTTCTGAGTCAGCCTAATATGAATCTTGCTTCTAAAGCTAGTATTTGGACATTACCAAACGGTATTTATTTCGAATCGGTAGTCAATGGAGAAAAAAAAAATGTATCAACAACTTATTTTAACCCTTTTCTTCGCAATGCTTTGTAAGATTTGGCTTAAAGTGCCCCATTCTTATTTTTCCTCAGCTCAAGAAGAATGCAAGTGCTCATGTCATGACGTCATTTTTATTGCCATAATTGGAGTGCTCGTGTTAGTAATCCTTGTGTTATTTACTTACATTCTCTGGTTAAACCAGAAAGGTAAATTGTATTATTTTTCAGCTTATTTTTTTAAATATCTGGTCTGATAACAAACATGATCCTTGGTGTCTAATTGATAACCTTCCAACGCATTTTGTTTCGTAGGCGCCGGAAGAACACGGAGGTAGGATTTCGTTTTATAATCAATTAGAATGGGCCTAGATAAACTAAAAAAGACAACCACAACAACAACAAAAATCATTTTATTACAAGGAGGCCTAGCTGTTCAATAATATATGTGAAAATATTTGTCGAAAAATGTGTGATACATGTTGTCTTGGTTTTCAAGTGAGTTCATTTACAGACTAACCTTACCAAAAACAGAACCACAACGAAATGTGTCACTTTGACATCAACGATATTTATTATAAAGAAAATATGATGGAAAATACAACTTACAGCATTACAATGAACCATCTCCGTGAAATATTCCTATGTTGTGTTTATTGCAGGGTGTATAAGGACGATGGTACCTATGAGGTAAGGCCTTCAACGCTGTGAAAAGAGCTTAATTGTAAAAACAATGATAGGATGAAATAACCTCAGCCAGTTTTAACAAATGAAGCCAAAAATTATCGTTTTTATCGTCTTAACCTCCAGACACGTGTGCACGTAACGGTCAATACTACATTGACATCTCCCATATTTCTTTTTTCAGAATGATATGAAGCTAAACGACCTGGAATTAAGTTGTCTTGAGTCAAGTGACTTTGCCCAGCATCCCGCAGAGTACATGGACATAAAAGAAACAAGCTTGGATGATATTCAATCTCAAGCTGCTGGCAAAGTTGCTAATTACGCGGCACTTCATACATCAACACGTTCCTGGGAAGTGTCAAGGGATCATGTGACAATAGAAAAAATCATCGGTAAAGGTGCTTTCGGCCAAGTTGCAAAGGGAATGGTTATAAACCCTCGCGGAAGGCCTGGAAGAACAACGATAGCCATCAAAATGCTCAAAGGTAAAGCTTTACCCTTCTGCTATTAAGAGTTCAGAAAAGTTTTACTCGTCGTCCAGAGTTACGAGGAATATGTGCTGAGAGTAGATGACTGAATTGCGATGCAGTTCCGTTAAAGGAAACATTCCCTCTTTCCTCCGTGTGAAATTTAATGATTCTAAACCTCGAACGCAACAGAACTTGACATGGTTTACAGGCCTTATTCTTTATATGAGTGCTTTTTCGTTCGTTTCTGCTACTCTATGCGTCGTAAACAAGTACTACTGAAACTCTCCTTGATTTCTCCAAGTTTCAAATGATTTTGAATTAGCAAGGTGACTTCCATTTTTGTCACCTTTAACTTTTTACTAACCAATTCACAAAGGCACAGATGACTGTTGAAATATTTCTTTAGATGAAGCCTCAGAATTGGACACGAGAGACTTGTTCAATGAACTTGAAACGATGAAGCAGCTTGAGCCGCATCCACACGTCATAAAACTTCCGGGATGTGTTACAGAAACTGGTGAGTTGTTTCCTTTAACTGTTCAGTGTATTATGTATATTTAACAACGCAAACAAGGTAAACTAGATGGAAACATATCTTGTTACCTCTAGCTTGGTAGTTTTTGTAGAACTCCTTTCTCACTTTTTTGCTGGCAAAATGACCCGGATGTTCGACCAACATTCACTGAGTTAAGAAACCAGCTTAAGGACATGAAAACCAAACACAAGGTAAGATTCATGGTTGACATTAAGACCACTGTTTCTATCAATGTCACAAGACAATCTCTTTTTATCGACTGAGTTGATCGTGTAAATTAGCCACCGTAAAGAGTTTCCAAAGCTGACGTTTTGAGCGTCTGCCTGGATAATACTTATGCGTACAAACTCAATTTTGATAATCTCATTTTTTTTTTCTCTACAGAGACTGATCAACATGAAAATGTACGACAAGCAGTTGTACGCAAACTTTGAGGATTTAAACGTATAGTCATCTATTTCTCGTATTTGTCTAACCCAGGATTTGCAGTAAACGTGTAGTTTTTTACTCGTAGTTGGCTAGAAATATAACTTGTTTAAAAGAAGCTGAAATTCAAAAGGGTCACATATAGGGATCCATTAGGGTAAATTACAGTGTAAGATGTACCAGCCTATTCTAAATCCTTCTAACTCCTTCTCCTCTGGTGATAACGAAGTCATTCACAGGCGGCCCAAACTCAGTGTGAGAGGTTAATCATTAATACATTTGGTTTTATATTGCGTAATTTGAAACGGCCGTGAATAGAAAGGATTTCTATAGAATTCCAGGTAAACGGTTCAAGTAATCACTACAATTATCAATAAAACACAGCTTACCGTGTCTACTTTGCTTGTTATTACTTTCTGTTTGGTTATTTTCCCGATCCATTGCGATTTAAGCGATTTCCTTTAACCCCGAGTTTTCAACTGTAAGAGAAAGGACAAGGCTGCACACTCCACTTTGGAATGCCCGATGCCAAATGCGAAAAATCCTCAGCTTAAAATGGCTTAGCAGCCACAAATCCAACGCCGAATCCAAGCCAATACGTCAATTGCCATCGACAGTTTTAGTTCGAACTCCGGCTCTCCTCGGGTAGATTCCACAAGAGGCCTTTGTCTATTAAAATCGCCCAAAAAAATTAGGGCGGCAATGTTTACGTATATTCAAAACAACGTCGTACGCCTTCAAGCTGATCTCGATATCTGAGTTAAAGACAAATGTTTTCCCCAAAAAAGCGTGCTTTTGATGATTACAATTATACCAAAACAATATTGCAATCATATCGTGGAAGGCTTTCCTCTGAGTGTCACGTTAGCCGCGATTGCCGCGCTAATTTGATTGGGCGATTTAGACTGTGTGGTACCCTTGTGAGGCTTCGTTTGNTCTTTATATGAGTGCTTTTTCGTTCGTTTCTGCTACTCTATGCGTCGTAAACAAGTACTACTGAAACTCTCCTTGATTTCTCCAAGTTTCACATGATTTTGAATTAGCAAGGTGACTTCCATTTTTGTCACCTTTAACTTTTTACTAAACAATTCACACAGGCACAGATGACTGTTGAAATATTTCTTTAGATGAAGCCTCAGAATTGGACACGAGAGACTTGTTCAATGAACTTGAAACGATGAAGCAGCTTGAGCCGCATCCACACGTCATAAAACTTCTGGGATGTGTTACAGAAACTGGTGAGTTGTTTCCTTTAACTGTTCAGTGTATTATGTATATTTAACAACGCAAACAAGGTAAACTAGATGGAAACATATCTTGTTACCTCTAGCTTGGTAGTTTTTGTAGAACTCCTTTCTCAAAAAAATCGCTTTCTTTCTTTATTCCTGTTTTCAAATCTTTTTTATTTAGCTATTTTTTATTGTTTTTTTCAGAGCCTCTGTTGGTATTAATCGAATATGTTCCTTTTGGAGATTTGTTGGGTTACCTAAGAAAGAGCCGTGGATTAAATGATACTTACTTCAAAGACCCGGATATCAAACCACAATCAAATCTGACGTCACAGCAGCTGATGAAGTTTGCTTGGCAAGTTGCTGATGGAATGAGTTACTTGTCCTAAAAATCTGTGAGTTTTTATTACAAAAACGTAAGAGCAGTTAGTCCAATCCTAGTATTCAATCGCAGATTTCTTATTTTGCGATGCGATACCCAGGGCTTTTATTTAGGCGGCTGCTGATAGTTCAATCATAAGGTGGCCATGTCTGCAAAAGAGGGCTTACGGTGGTGTTACACTGCTGATAACCGGCTTATGAAAGCTACTGAATAGTTTTGTTTTATGATTAAGAATGGAAGTATTGAAGTTGTTAATCATCTCTGATTGATTATTATTCCCTGTGGTTAGATCATCCACCGAGACCTCGCAGCCCGTAACGTGTTGGTTGGGGAAAACGAAACATGTAAAGTAACAGATTTTGGAATGGCCAGAGATGTGCAACAGGAAATTGTTTATGAAAGAAAGACAAAGGTAATTCGAAATATGAGTTTAACTTCATTATATCGACTAAAGCTATAATTTGTCATTTCAATTTAACTCCCTACGAAACTCATAATCTTTTGTTCATAGAATCTTAAAGCTTCATTTTTTACGTTATGTTATCAAATGAAAATGCTCATGAAGTAACTATGAATTCCTAAGGGTCGTCTTCCAGTAAAGTGGACAGCTTACGAGGCTTTATTGTATAGCACATATACCACCAAAAGTGATGTGTAAGTACAGCCGTTGATTACTTGGTATGATATATCGCTACGCATTCGCTTTGATGGTGAAAGATAAATCCAGCGAACTAGTCTGCACACGTACACATACCGTCCACGCACGTGTTCCCATAACATCAAGCTCAAGTTTTAGGAGTCGTTAGTTGACCTTCCAGCGTTTGTCACATTATCAGTTTTTAAAATCTCCCCTTACTTGGATTTCATATTAATCCTATTACCTTCCAGATGGAGCTATGGAGTTCTTCTTTATGAGATTTTCACAATAGGTAAAAACTATAATTAATTCATAATATGTAATGAAAAACAAAGAAGTATATCAAAGAAATGTTAATGATTACTTATCTTGAAGATCATTGTCAAATTCTAAGACAAAACTGGTTAAAGCGAAGTAATCAAGCCACAGGAAAAAAAAAAAATTAAAAAAAGAATTTAATTTAAATTTGTTATTAACAATTTTACACATCCAAACAGAATTCATTTGTTATCTGCTTTCCTTTCCTTCAACAAGAAACAAAATAATATTTACATCATTTCCAGGTGGTTCACCGTATCCACGGATGGATGGCAAAAAAATTGCGAAACTATTACAGCAGGACTACAGAATGCCTAAATCACAACATGTAGATGATGAGTTGTAAGTTTTCCATACTGTTCCTTATCTTTTTACTTTGGTTTGTCGTTAGTGCTATTCAGAGAATTATTTCGCCTATTGACTGTGAGTTAAAGTCACCTTAACTAGTATCCAAGTTAAACGATTCTTGAAGACCAAAACACATTTTTCTTTGTTTGTTGAACATAGTCCTATTTTCAAATACCAGGTACCAGATCATGATGAGATGCTGGCAAAATGACCCGGATGTTCGACCAACATTCACTGAGTTAAGAAACCAGCTTAAGGACATGGAAACCAAACACAAGGTAAGATTCATGGTTGACATTAAGACCACTGTTTCTATTAATGTCACAAGACAATCTCTTTTTATCGACTGAGTTGATCGTGTAAATTAGCCACCGTAAAGAGTTTCCAAAGCTGACGTTTTGAGCGTCTGCCTGGATAATACTTATGCGTACAAACTCAATTTTGATAATCTCATTTTTTTTCTCTATAGAGACTGATCAACATGAAAATGTACGACAAGCAGTTGTACGCAAACTTTGAGGATTTAAACGTATAGTCATCGATTTCTCGTATTTGTCTAACTCAGGATTTGCAGTAAACGTGTAGTTTTTTACTCGTAGTTGGCTAGAAATATAACTTGTTTAAAAGAAGCTGAAATTCAAAAGGGTCACATATAGGGATCCATTAGGGTAAATTACAGTGTAAGATGTACCAGCCTATTCTAAATCCTTCTAACTCCTTCTCCTCTGGTGATAACGAAGTCATTCACAGGCGGCCCAAACTCAGTGTGAGAGGTTAATCATTAAGGTCGGCACACACGAGGGGACTAGTCCCTGCGACTAGTCCCAGCGACCAGTTTCATGCGACTAGTCCCTTCGTGTGAACTACACATTTCTGTGGTCGCAGGGACCAAAATTTGGTCCCTGCGACTGGTCGCACGAATTCAAACTTGTTTGAATTCGTGCGAC